CCGTGCTTGTCGCCGCGTTTTGATTACGTCATCACAACAACACGTTAGCTTACCAACGTAACCCTGTTCCCTGACATTCGGTGATTTCGAAAGCCGAAAGGGCCTTTTTAACCATTTTCGGCCGATAATTTTCGGTGGCCGAATATTCGGTGCATCCCTATAAATAATAATCACTATTATGGGTCCATAAAACATTTATTCAGCACTTTTGAATGCATACAGTACATTAATTCCAAGTCAAGTGCATTTTCTTTTCTCTGTAGGATAACTACAACAAAGTGCATTCAGAACAAAGCCAAGGTGCTTTAAAACTGCATAAACATCTAGGCCAGTAGGCCTACAACAAAATAGTGTAAATAAAGACTGTAACAGCCAGGCCTTCAACAACAACAAATGCACCTATAACTTTGGTAACTTAACGTGTTGTTGTGATGACGTAATCAAAACGCGGCGACAAGCACGGCGCGCGACCATGCTCGCGGCTGGCTCACAGCCAACATGTCTGCCGCTTGGAGATATTTCAAAATATCAGAGAGAGAGGCGCGGATTGCGATTTGTAAAACGTGTTCAGCTGACATTTCTCGAGGGGGTGTAACTGCAAAGACTTTCACCACTTCGGGATTACTCCACCACTTGAAATCAAAACACCCGGACAAAAGCCGAAAGGGGCTTTTTAACCATTTTCGGCCGATAATTTTCGGTGGCCGAATATTCGGTGCATCCCTAAATATTATATAGAAGTAATTAAAACCTCCATCAGGCTCTCCCCCTCGATGTGTTTGACTCAGTAGCCTCTGTGTTTAGCACAAAGTCTCTTCCCCAGAGATCGGGTTCAAACCTCCTCCTCCTCCTCCTCCTCCTCCTCCTCCTCCCTGTGTGTTAGTGCTAGAGGTCAAAGGTGGTCATGCAGGGTTGGTTTAGTAAATATCCGGGGCTGCAGTCGCTGCCTCTCTGGTATTTCCTGCTCCTTTTCTTTGACACTCAGAAACCCGAGATGTTTGAGGGGCTCGGGTGACGCTAACCGCACACTCATGATGTCTCAATGTAAAGAAATGGAGCAGAAACGCAGCCGTGTGTGTCCTAGAGTTTGGAAAGAGATCAAATCTGAGCCTGCTGGTTGTAGTTTTAGTTTTAAAGCTTCTTCATCGTCTCATAATCCACGCTGGATTATGAGACGATGCGCCCTAACACTGCCCTTTCCTAGTCTCTTTGTGTCTTATCCTTATTCTGTGTTTGGGGCTTTCTTGGCGGATGAAAAGGAATTTACAAAAAGGTACTTAAAACAAACATGTAATGCTTAAATGTAATGAAGATTTTAAAATAAGTAGGATGAGAGACAAAGAGAATGAAGAAATTAGGAAGGGAAGGAGACAAGAGGAGGAAGGGTATTCGTAAAATATTTATTTTTTATATCTACAATTGTTCCTAAATTACGTTCTTATACAACACACCTTTTAGAATCAGCACATTTTATAAAACATGTCTTTCTGATAGACTTCAGAAATGTAAATGATATTAAAAATATTCCATGATTTGTCCCTAACTTGTAAATTGTACAAATTGACTATTTTCCATATTTTAAAAACATTTATAAAACATAAGAAATGTGCGTCTCTGAGAAAAAAAAAGCCTTTTAAATTTCGGAATGAATCTCAACATCACTTCCTGTCCTGAATGGGTCGAAGCCTGCGAGCTAGTTCAGGCGGTCAACTCGAGCACCAATGATTAACACGTGACGCACCTCGTCTCTCTAACAACCAACCAAACACATTCTCTTAAACATGCCGCTCTATTTAAGCTGCCAGGTCTTCCTGCCTCTGCCTCGCTATGCTGCTGCTGCGTCTGTGTTTCATGTTGCTGCTACTCGCCTGCCCCACAACCACCCCAGCTTCCACCCCAGCTTCCACCCCAGCTTCCACCCCCAGCTTCCACCCCAGCTTCCACCCCCCGAGCTTCCACCCCAGCTTCCATCCCAGCTCCGCTCCAGCTCCGCCCCAGCTCCACCCCAGCATCCACCCCAGCTCCACCCC